GGGTATTCTCGACTCGAGCATTCCATTCTTTCATTTAGACTTGTTTCTTTTTTTAAGTAAATCGAGTACGTTTGCTACTATTTTAAGTGAAAAGCAATTCGCAACGGTTAAAAAACAAACAGCAATCATTAGAATTATTTGATTATCGAAAGCATAACTGAAATAATTGTCACCACAAATACTTAAGTGAATACAAGTACAACAATATTTTGAAATAATTACTTTTGAATTGCAAAAATATGACCCTACTTTTATGGGATTATATTGAATGGAACCGAAGATGGGATCAAGAGGTGGTTTTTGTGGTTTTTATGGTTTTTTCTGCGTTCATTAAAATGTTTCATCATCGCTCAAAATCTGGTGCTTCTTGGACAATATGGAGCTGTATTAAAATTAATGTATAGGCAATCGATCTAGAAACAAAATGATCAAAATTTGGTTCATTTAGGATCAGTAGTCGAAACTAATTAATATCTATTTTAAGGAAATTGAAGAAAAGCACCAACTCAACATTTAAAAATCTCCCTACTTTTGTAGAATATAAATCTGTTGCTGTGTTGTTCATAACAACTCACTAATTGTCTTAATTGGCTGTGTATTAGTTTGTTTATTTAGTCATATTTGGATTCCAGTGTAGTCCAAAGCCAGCGCACGGAAAGATTACGATGATGAGCTCTCTTTTTTAATCATGCGAGATCAAGACTATTACTATAAGCCAATAAGCTAGACAAATACTATCCTCAACTGAATGAACTGAGCAATGAGGCTTAAATATGTAACAAACACAAAACCTTGCTGGCCAGGTATTGGAATACATCGCGGAATCTGGACACTTTAATTTGTTGTTATTGAAATAGTGCATACATTCATACGTTGGGTCAAAAGTTCTGTGTTCTGTGGAGAAAGCCTCGCTAATAATTAGTGTAAGTACAAATGTAAGTATTATGAAGAGATATCGCTTTTACGATTCTCAAATTCTCTATCTATAGAGAAACTAAATTATGCCGAAGCTTCTTCTCTCAATTTCCGTAACACGTTGTTGTCCGCACGGAACCAACTTTAAGAGCGTTTACGCATTCTTCCATGCCACCTGAAAGTCTAGCTGAGAATGAAGAATGCTCAGCATAATACGAATATGCTGCTCCACATCATCAACTGCAAGAAGATAAGAATCCTAGAGACTTGCCTTCTTACTCATATTATTATAAATGTCATATCATATAGTATAACAGCCATAGGAACAAGTCGTGCAATAAAGTTTTTTCTGAAACACTGTGAGGGAGAGAGGCGAGGCTGCAAAATATACCAGAGCCTATATTGCGAGAACAGAAGAATCGTAGAGAAGAGGAATCTCAATGATGACCTTTTTGCTGAAATGAGAGAAACCCGCAATTCCCGCAAAAGATAAGCCGCACTTTTTGTTATACATTTCGTTTTGTTTTTTGTTGTTTTTTTGTTGTTGTTTGTTTTTGTTTGTTTTTGTTTATTTTTGTTTTGTTTTGTTTGCTTTTCAATATGTTGTATTTATTTTTATCATATTATCTTTAAGCTTACAACTTAAGGCGTAAAGTTACGAACTAAAACTTAGGTGCTAAACATTTTTTTCTGGTTGGCAGGTAGGCTCCGACCATCGGACCACCTTCCTATCCATCATCATCATCATCATCATCATCATCCTAATCATCATAATCATCAGCTTTAGCTTTGCGCAGAAGCGCACATTTTACATATACAAGTACATATATGTATATACATATGTGTGTGTATATATATATATATCTTTTATTTGTTTATATATATATATATTTATAATATTGTTTGTTGTTGTTGCTGTTTTTCATCATAATGTTTATCTATATAGGTATATTATTGTTATCATTGGGTTCTCATATTATTATAACTTTAATGCAGTTTAGAAGTGTGTGGTAATTTGTTTTTGTTGTTGTTTATTGTTCAACAGAGCAATTGTTTAACCAAAATGGAAAATGTTGTCAAATCATAACAGTTGCCAGTTAAGTGGCAATTAGCTTTAAAGTATTCGTATATATTTATATATATATTTTTTGTATATATATGTAGATTTAGTTTTTGTGTTTTAGATTTGTTTTTGTTGTACGCCTTTTTGTTTTGGCCATTTTGTATTTTTATAATGCAGTTCATGCTGTGTTTTAAAATTCGATTATTCATTTATATGCCTGCAGTTAATTAGTTGCATTTCAATTGGGGAGGAGGTTTCTTGGGATGGTGAGAAGGGTGGGGTGGGGTGGGGAGGGGGGCGGCCTCGGCATGGCGCGCTGCTTCGTTGTGTGTGTCTCTCACTCGTGCTCTCTCTCTCTCCCTCTCTCTGTCGCTCTCTGAAGTATTTTGCGGCTAACTGCTCTCCACGTTCTCTACCGTTCGACTATTTGTGTATGTGTGTGTATTTGTGTGTGTAGACACGCCATGCCAGGATTCGTTTCTATGATTATTTTCTTGACATTTCACATACATTTATTTTATTTGTATAATTTTTTTCTGTATACATATATAGAATTTGTTGCATTATTTCATAGTTCTTTATTTATATATATGTATATATATATGTATGTATATATATATATATAAAAAAAATACGCAGCTCAAGCGCGTTGCTCTTAACTAAATCGCCGCCGTTCTACAATTACATATATATATATATATATACTTGTATATATATATATATATATACATATATACATATATATATATATATATATATATATATATATATATATATATATATATTATTTTATATTATATTATGTTTAAGTTTTATTTGTTTATATTTTCATTCATTTTTCCACACAATTCTTGTTTGTTGTTAATATTTTACACTCTTCGTTTGTTTTGTTTTCTGTTTTGTTTGAATAAGTCTTAGCGTTTGTTTACTTTTTAGTTTTTTTTTTTTGTTTGTTTATGTATTAAAAATATTTAATTTTTTAAATTGTTTCTCATATGTAAAAAATAAGTTAAAAAAAAAAAAACAGTAACATAGCTAAACACTAAAACTGCTTGTAAGACATAAGTTTGTTATATAAAAAAATATGCGTATGTATATAATATATATATGTGTATATATCATATACCATATATATATATACATATATATTTATGTATGTATACGAGTTCATATACACATATGTATTCATAATGTTTGCTTGCTTCCTTTCTGTATACATATATATATATATGTGTTTGTTTTGTTGTTGTTGTTTTGCTTTATTTTAAATATTACTTACATAAACATTATGGTAATAGTTTTAAACATAATTAAATCGCATAGAAAAACACAATAATCTTCCATAAATTACAACTTGCATTATATATATAAAAAGTAGTAAAAAAAAGGTATGTATATTATATATGTATGTTTGTATATATATATAGATATATATATAGTAAATAATATTTAATTAAACGTATGCGCATTTTTATGAAATTTACAAAAAACTCTTTTAAATGTTTAAGGGTTTACTACAATTAAAATATTTACTCGATTTTTCATAGATTTTTTTCTCTTTTCTAAGAACAGCCCAACAGTGTTTTATCTTTTAAATTTTTATGTATACATATATAAAGATTTTTCTTTTCATAATTTATATATATATGTATATATATCGTCACTACATGTTCTCCACATACTCCCGATTGAAGTTTCGAGGCTTAATTTTAAATATAAATCGAATAAAATTGTCAGTGTAGGAAAGTTAGCAACCGAAACGAAATGCACAACACAAACAAAAGAACATACAAACAACATAGAGAGTGCGGAGATAAATATAAATGAGACGAGCACGAAAGAGCGAAGGTAGAGGTTAGAGATAGGGTGAGCGAGTGCTCTCTTCGTTAGAATAGCGTACAAGATAAGTAATAACATTTGATAAATAAAAAGAATGATTCATAATGAGCGCACAATATTATTTCGCACTCCAGCTTCCCCACTTCCCCTCACCATAACATCCTCCCTCCCACACACACTCACTCTCCCTCTCTCTTTCTCTCTCTCTCGCTTATTATAGTTTTTTGCGTGTGCAAGAAAAATGGGAATTGGAGTTTGAACTTAAAAAGTGAGAACTGCCGCCATTTATAGATTTCCATTTTAGGTTTTATGTTTTTTTTTGTTCTTTTCTCCTATAATTTACACATACATATTCATATACATATACATATATATAGTATAACTTTGAAGATTTAAATATATTCTTCATATTGCCGTAAGGTGCCTAACTACATGTTTGTCAGTGTGTGAAGTGTGTATGTTTTTTTATTTGTTTTGTTTCATTTGTTTTTAATGAGAGTGCGTGAATATACATATAGTATACTATATATAGGTATATATACCTTATAGTGAAATGAGTGTCTGTGTGTGTGGGCGCATAACGAACACAAATTTTAAGGCGGCGGTGTCGGCTTATGATTGCCGATCGATCAACTGTCTGTCTGTCTGTATGTATGTATGTATGTGTGTGTGCTATGACTCTCTCCCTCTCTCTATTTCTCTCTATTTTCTTTCCATATATATATTATATATCTGTATATGTTTCTTAATTTATTCTCTGTTGCCATACTTTAATTACAGATATCTAGTTCGTGTTGTTGATGTTGATGTTGTTGTCGTTTCTGTTTTATTTTAATTACTCTTGGCTTATTGAGAGTGAGCCTTGTCTACAGGTATGTGTGTGTGTGTGTGTGTGTATGCGTGTGTATGTCCTTCTGTGTGTGTTTAGGTGCTATCTTGTGCTGCTCTCTGACGCGCGCGCTTTTGAAGCTGAGCGTCAAATTTGGTTACAACATTTCTTTTGTTTTGTTTTAAATTTACATAATTTTGTGTTTCTTCTTCTTACATTTATGCCCCTTTATTCTTTACATGCATTTACTTGTTTAGTTAACTAATATACATAAATAGTTGTTATTATTGTTGTGGTTGTTGTTGTTGTTGTTGTTGTCGTCGTCGTCATTAACTGGTTAACATAATTAGCCATTCAATAATAGCCGTGACTGTTCCCTGTTGCATAGTGGTGTGGCGCACCTCCTTGCTCCGCATAGTGCTGGCCAGCACCACCCACTGAGTAGTGTGTCGGCGGCGGCGGTTGTAGCGGTGGTGCTCGCTGCTGCTGCTGCTGCTGCTGCTGTTGTTGTTGTTGTTGAGGCTGCTGCTGCGATTGCAAAGGCGGTGGCGGCAGTGGTGCTGTTGCTGTAACAACATGATGTAAGGTCGAGGGCGAGACGCGATGCAGGCCATGCGATGATTGTGGTGCTGGTGCATGTGCTGATGATGTCGGTGGCACGTGAGTAGCGTAATGTTGTAGACTGCGCGCTGCATGCAACTGCTGTGGCTGCTGGTGTGGTTGGAGTGGTTGGTGTTGAAGTTGGTGGTGGTGGCGCTGATGGCGCGACGATGTTGGGGGGGGTAGCTGTGAGGGTGGTGGCGCATAAACACTCCACTGCTGCTCATACACATTGACTGCTGCATTTTGTGTCGCTGCTGGAGGCGCCGTCGCTGCCGCTGCTGCAGCCACTGAGAGGCTGCGCATGCTCGACGACGACGCCTGCAGTCACAACTAATCTTCGTCGCTAAGTGCCTCGTACTTTTCCGATAGCAGTGGTTTTGGCTCGGCCGCGGCCGCTGTTGAGGAGACGCTAGCATTGTGTGCGCCACCACCGGCACCACCACCGCCGCTGCCGCCACCACCACCCCCAACGCCTGCTCCCCCAGACATGCCCACATTCGGCCCGGCCCCACCTACCACCAAACTAACACCACCCGCACCACCGGCCTCGCTCAGCGCATTCGCCGCTTTAGCGCTCAAATGACTGGGTGGTGTGCCTTGGTGTGTCAAGGACATGGGCGATGGCTGCACAGGCACATTCAATGCATTGTATGGAAATGTATATGCCCCAAATGTGTTCACCGCTGTGGGCGTGGGCGGATGGTAGCTGGCATGATGGGCACCACTGTTGGAGCTGGCCGAGGAGCTGCTGGCGGAACGTCTGCCACTATCAACCACCTCGTACTGATTGGGAGTATTGCGCGAGACGGATACCTCATGAGGTTGGGGCGGTGGTGGGCCCTGGTCCTTGCTGCGATGCTGCTGCTGTTGTTGTTGCTGTTGCTGCTTCTGCTGATGTTGTAGTTGCTGATCGTGATGCGCCGCCACAGCCGCCGCATGGGCATGGACCGCATGCAGCTTGTTATCGTCCATACGTTTATTGGCATAGCTTACATCATCGCCCGTACGCATTACCTCGGCAATGCGATTCTTGACATAGGTGTCGAAGGTGCCACCGCCCGAACCACCGCTGGCCACACGTTGTTCATGTGCTGCGGCCCCCACCTGTGGCGGTGGCGGCACCACACCACGACTCATCGCCGCCACATTCGAGGGCAGGAAGTAGTGGGGATCTACAGCGTCTAGGCCAGCCACAACAGCCGCTTGCTGCATGTGCAGAATTTCATATTTTCGGGGACTGACGGGCTGTGGCATGCGAATTATGTTGCGTCCATCATCACCAGGTGTATTGGCTCGACCCCCTGCTCCACTGGGTGCATTCGGTGACGGTCCGGCACCACTGCTGGGCACACCACCGGGTCCCGAATTTGGCGATTGTTTCGATGAGGCACCAGCTGCCGCTGCCTCCTCAGCTTTTTGTTGCATTCGACGATTCTGCTTCCAACGATCGGGTGTCAAGATGGTGGCCTGAGTATCTGGCAGATAATTCATGAATGGCCGACTGTGCGGATTGGGGCCATAGTCGTTTGTAATGATCGAGTCGGCCAATTGGCCAAATGTTATGTTCTTGGTGTGGATTTGTTGCTGGGCTGGCGGTGCCACTGATTGTGCCTTCGATGTGGGCGGATTGTGTGATGGTGGTGGTGCACCCTGAGCGCGCAATGCGGCATAGACGCGTGTCTGGCTCGATTGCGATGACGGTTGGGGCGGGCCTTTCGATGGACCACGAACATCCTGATCCAGATCGATGTTGATGACATTCGGAGAATTCGAATTGGCGTTCCCATTGTTGCCAGCGGCCAGAAGTGAGGCGGCAACACCGTCGTGTTGTTGCCGCATATCGCGTGGATACTGTTAATGATAAATAATGTGATTATTATGTGTGCTCTGATTATGACAATGGACAAATGGTTATTACTTACCAATGGTCGTGTCAGTTCACGACTAAGTCCACTACTCTCGCCGGTACGACTGATCTCGTGCTTGATGATGGCATCTATAAGACTCTGGGCACTAAACTGCCCCGGTGAATCATCCGGCGGTTGAGTGCCATGAGTGCGATAGTAGCTGTAATTTGAAGATTTAAATTGGCAACCAACTCAAAAAGTGGTTCACTTTTCACTTACGCTTCTCGGGATCGAGCTTCGGAATCGGGAATTGTGCGTGGTGGTCCTGTTTCGGGTCCAGGTCCCGGGTTGCGCATATAATGGCCAGGTGGAGCACCGCCTCCTGGGGCAGTCACCACACCACCCGGAAATAGACGTCGACCCTCGCGCTCTCGCTCTTCGGCGGCACGCTCCTGGCGATCTCGCTCCCGCTGCCGGTCGCGCTCGCGCTGAATAATCCCGCGATCCCGTTCGATGACATGATTGTGGTGACGCTGTTCGCGATTGGCATGCTCCATGCGGCGCTGCATCTCAGCCACATTGGCAGCATTCAGATGATGTCTAAACTGCTCCTGCTGATGGACGGCAGCGACCAAATGTTGCTGTTGGGCGGCCATGGCCAATTGGTGCTGATGATGGTGTATGGCCGCCATGGAGTCGCGATAGCGCATATCGTGATGGGATGTGGGCGGCACCACGGCATGTGGTGGTGGTGGTGCTTGTGGCGAGGCCTCATGACGCGATGATTTCTCGTCCTTCTGCGATGGTACCGGCAATTGTGGCTGCTGTACGGCCACATCAACAAACGAGGCCAGCGCATCGTGACCAGCTATTAAAGGCGTATAATATAGAGCCATAATTAGTCGGGAATAAATCTAATGAGTTTCGTCAACTTAGGCTTTATAATAATGACTTACCCGGAGGATAATTGTAGGGCGTCACAATGTGCATACGACTCTGCGGTGGGGCTGCAGGCGACGGCGGCTTGGAGCCCGTGTTGTGACGCTGTATTACATTCTGACGCTGTGGCGGCGGCGTACGATGTGGACTGGGGGTGCTGTGAATGGGGAAGAGAACAAATAATATAGTCTCTCTTTTGGTCTCTATCTAATGTCCCTTTGGGCTTACCTATTTGCATGCTCTGCTGGTGAGGCACGGCTTGTTAAATACTCATTCCGTCCACGCGGCTGCGGTTCCTTCTCGAATGGATAGGTCATCGTTGGTAAGCCACTTGCCGAACCACCACTAACACTATTGCGAGGCGATGGGGATTCCTTATCAGATCCGGCACCACCGCCAGCGCTGCTGCTGCCACGCGAAACATTACGTTGTTGTCCCTGCATCTGCTGCGACGTGATGTAGTCATGCATCACGATCTGTCGGGTGCTCAGCACCGGCGGTTGATCCACCACATTGCTGAAGGGTGAGCGGGCATAGGGTGAACCCACACCAACGCCATAGCCCTGTGGCGGTGGCGCATGTGGTGACGATTGCTGCGGTGGTGGTAGCTGCCCGGGTGGTGCACCACCGGGCCCCCCTGGTTGTTGGGCCGGACTGTGACGCTGGGTGGATTTGTAATAATCATAGGCACGCTTGCTTTCCAAATGATGCTGCGGCATGTGCAGTGGTGTGCCTTGTGTAATCGATCCATGTTTGCTCGACTCACCCACCGATGGTGGTGTCTGCGGCACTAGCCGCTCGAATTTGGGACTAAGAACTGACGAGGAAGCGGGGTGCACAATTATTTGTTGCGCACTATTCGCTGGAGTACCATGAGTGATGGAGCCGCTCTTAACTAGCATCTGTTGTGGTGGTGGTGGTGCAGGCTGTTGATGCGACGGCGATGGCGCCTGGCCGCTGTGCGGCGGTGGTGCATGCAAATGTTGCGATTGTTGTTGCTGTTGCTGCTGATGTTGTGGACTGAGTTTGGGTGGCATTTTGCACACAACGCCACCACCAGCATTCATTGAACCACCTGAGCGGGCATTCACATGCGATTGTGGCGGCTGCGGTTGCGCCGGAGGCGGCCCACTGCTGCGCCCAACGCCCGTCTGGCTTATGGAGATGGGTACAGTTACTGGTGATACATAGAGTGAACCTGGTGGACCTGTCTTAACCACGCCATGCATCTGGGGGTACAAATACGCGGAATTGGGAACAGCCAATGGGAGCGCAGACTCGGGCCCAGGCGCACTTCCGCCGGCACCACTAACGCGATATATGGACGTGGCACGCGCAATATGCTTGATCGCACCGGACAAAGACGATGCATGATGACGATCGTTGTTGGATCCCAGCGAAGAGACACCCGACGAGGAGCTCGAGGAGTGCGAATGCGGTGAATGGCCATCACGTGGTGGCTTCTTAATCGATAAATCCAAAGTTTGTGGCTCTGCCTCGACCACACGTTGTTGCTGTTGCTGCTGTTGATGTTGTGCTGCCAGGGAGGCATGCGCTCCATGACTTGACACAACACCACCATAGATAATTGTCTCTGGCGGTGGCTGTGCCACATGCTGTGGTGGTGTGGGCGTAGCGTTTGCGGCACCACTCTTTACAACGGGAGTGATGGTGGCCTTATCATTGATTTGATGTTGTTGCAGCAAGGCTGCAGCGTGGGCTGAATGCGCCGCATGTGGATGATGCACACTGGATGCCAGATGTGAATTAACCACCGACAAGGTGGCTAAATTGTCCGGCACCGATGCTGCACTAACAGGCGCGCCATTGCCCGCTATTGTGGGACGCGTGGTCAATTTTTGCACTGAGGTACCATGCGGTAGAGCATGCGGTGGTGGCGGTGGTTGTTGCTGTTTCACAATAGCACCACCATCATTTCGAAATTCACGCACAATGGTAACCTCTTTCCGTTCCAGATTGTTATGACTCATAGGCGGTGGTGCTTGTTGTTGTTGCTGCTGCTGCTGTTGATGTTGCTGTGACGCTGGTGGTGTCTGCACAGATTGCTGTTGCTGCTGTTGTTGTTGTGCTGCCGGCTTACCACCAGCTGGCAATTGCGGTCCCTTCTGCTGTTGCTTCAGCTGCCTCTCAATTACGGTGAACATGAAGTCCTGCACATTATTGCAAGGCTCCCGTCGCAGTCCCATGCCAGGGGGAACTCCAGCGGCTGCGGCAACAACAGCCGCATGCATCGGTCCGTTGAGCTGCTGGGATCCTGGCAGCGGTGGTGCAAGTCCAGTTGCCGTTATATTGTTGCCATGCACATGTCCGCCCACCCCACTCGAGCCGGTGAAGGGTACCTTAGGACTTTGGCGATTAGCCGGTGAGTTCTCGTTCTCCTCATCCGCCGTCTCTGTTGCCGAAGAGTCGTACTCCTCGGAGGTCTTTTGTTTCTTGGGCGCTTGTCCAGCGGGTGGTAGCAGTCGTTCACTGTCATTGGTAGCCGCTGCACCACTCTTGTTACCGCTGAGTCGCGTCGGTGTTATGGTTAGAGCAGCACCGGGACCAGTCGCTAGACCATCATTTCTTACGTTTACAGGCTGCGGTTGTGGTGGTAGGGCCGATGGCTGTTTCTGTTGGGAGGCAGTTTGCGAAAGTGGTTGCGGTGGCGCCGCTTGTACTGACACCTGCTGTTGTTGCTGTTGCTGCTGCTGTTGCTGTTGCTGTTTACTCAGCGCCGACTTGTGCCGCTGCAAGTTCTCGGGACTCTCCACCGAGGCCGTGTCACTACCACCCGGTTCGCGTTCGTCACACGATGAGGTGCTCACATCGGTTTCATCGCCGTCATCCGTACGTCGATCATCATCGGTGAGATTCAGCTGCGGATCCAGCTTACGATTGATACGCATCAGGCAGGCCGAGCAGCAACGTGTGGCCTGTGTCGGTATTTGAAACTCGGCCATAATGGGATCACGCAGCTCGGGCGATAGCTCGAACAGGCGTGATGGTATGTTGCGCAATCGTTTGGCTCGATCCTTCGGATTGGGACATGTCGGCAAGGGACAATTTGGATAGCGGTTGCGCACCGATTTGCACTGACAGCTATTGCAGACGCGAGCACCAGCCGGTATCGTCTCATCCGGTATAGCGTACTGTTGGCCACGTCCCTTCTTCAGGGGGCGAGTGCGTGGACAGGCCTCGGCCTTGCACACAAAGCAGCTGGCTAACTTATCTGTAATGAGACGATGGGAGAGAGAAGGGAAGAAGATGTTAGTTAAGTAAATACATTAACAATAATAGCAGCAGAAAAAAATACAAATAAATTGCGATTTAATTAAACAACTTGGGCCAGGTTCTGGTTTAGGAATAAGCAAGAGAGAAAGCGAGCTGCCACAGTTCCTGATGCTGACGGGTGCCGTTTTCATTAAGCCACTTAACAAATAATGAGCAGCTCGTCCATTGAATATTTTAAAACGCACTCGAGTGTGTACCCCTGCCTTGCTGTAGAGGGGTGTGGCGGCGGGGGGTGATGGCAATGCAATTGCTCGTGGGTGAAAAGGTGGGGGGAGGGAGGAGAGGGTGTGAGTGTTGGTAACTTTTAATTTTCATTGCAATCAAATCAAAGCGGCGTTGATGATGACAGCTCAGAGATGAGCCCGTGACTTAAAGGAAACAAATCGTGATTATTGAAAGCTCGATATCTGCACAAAAACATTCTTCTTTAGTTATAATTTATATGTAATATTTTTCATCTCATATTATAGTAAAGTTAAAGAAATATATTTTCCAGAATTACATTTCAAAGCTGAATTTATGAATCTATGGATTTATCTTTAAGCGCAAAATGTAAAGCTGTTAAGAATCAAGAACACTCGGATCACATGAGTAGCGAAGAATCTCTATTAAATTACATTATCTAATTGATTGAGAAAGCAAACGCAATCACGCGCTCATCACTGTCGCTCTCTCTCTCTCTCTCTCTGTGCTGCTTCTGCCTACCACCCAGCCACCATAAAAACCGTTGCTGGCTGGCGCTTTTGCGTCTCTGTTTGTCTTAGTTTTTGTTTTGCCATTTAATATTTTTAAAATTTTAATGATATGCAAATAGAGGTCTAGAGTGGGAAGAAGGGGAGGCAGAGAGATAGCGGGCGATTGGGAAAGGTAACGGCAACGGCAACGGCAACGGTAACGAGAACAATGCGCACGTCAATTTAAGGCAAATCAATGTAATTAAAAGAAAGGCAACAACAAGGGCGTTGATGCTGCTATATCCTTCAGTAGGTGGTGGGTAGTGGGTGGTGGGTGGCGCCTGGGCATGAAACCGCGCTTCACCAAGCGAAATCAATCAGCGTTTAAATGCCACAGAGAGTGGGAGAGGGGGGTTGGGAGAGCTTCCAAGGTGGTCGCGGAACTGACCAAACAACAGACGGCGAGCAAAGTAGGGAGTGGAGTGGAGGAGTGAGGACACGGACAGGACATTCAGCATACGGATGTGCGTCTCTCTGTGGAATATGAAAGTACATCAAAGTAGCACACACACACACACACACACATACACAAACACTGCAAGGCGGGCAGCAGCGGACAGACCATGGACTGCGGTCCATGGCTGCCGTCGTTGTCGGCGGGCGAACGTTCGAGCAAAGGCATAAAGGCAAAAATGCTTTTTGCGAGCGCAAAAGTAAAGCGTTTAAATTTTAATAAGCCACTCATTTTAATTTTGATTGTCGCGGTGGTTGGCGGTGGTCAGACAGTCAGTCATACAGGCAGTCAAGTGGAGAGTCCAGCAGCCAACCAACCACAGCAACAACAATATTCTGCAGTGAGGGTAAGAAGGACCAGCAATGATATTGGTGGTGGACGGTTCCGAGCTACGTATAGTTGACCTCCAAAATTGCGCTGACTTCTGGCCCACCATTTGGGAAATACGTTGTAAGAAATTACCCAATTCTTTGTATATCCGCTAATGTAAAAAGACTTCTAATTTGGTTTCATCTTTGTCGTTGAATAGGAAACATATCACAACTTGTATACCCTTCACTGAAACGTGTAAAGGTCTATTGTTTTTGAAGAATGGCAGATGATCAGCGTCTCGAGACGAGTCCAAAACTCGTCTGCCCAACCATCCGTTTGTCTGTCTCTATCACTACTTCTTACACGTTTTGCGACCGACTTTGTCAGATCACCCAATCATATAGCTGCCATAGAAACGCATGTGGCTGATTGGTGTTTCTGTATGAAATACTGTTTGCCTATAAGAAATGATGGCAAAAAATATGATCTCTAATAAAAAATAACTAAGTACGAAAACAGTAGAGTATAGTAAGTATATAGTTCGCGCCTCTTGATTATAAAGAAGAAAATTTTGCTTGTTAGACACATTGAAGCGTTTAGAACTTAGACACAGACGAAGATTATTTTCAGCTCTGAATATACGATGACCTCCTTTTCCAAACTTGGCTGACCTTGACAGAAATGGAAGTGTGCAGTTTATACAAGTATTATAAGTGTGTATATATCGATTCTTTTCATTACCTCTTAATAGCATTATAAATACACACCGCTACCCAAACAAAAACAGGCAACAGACAATACTTTTTGACAAATTGCAATCCAGCAATCCAGAGAATTGGGGGGAGGGTGCTTGGAAAAAGAAAGTGCTGGCCAAAGTGTTCGTTCCATTTCCATTCAATCAAAATACAATTATAAATGGCAAATTAAATAAAAACGCAAAATAAATATTTAATATTAATAATAGCAATTACAAAAACAACAAGAATACCAATAGGCAATTGATGAGCCATCAGCTATAACAAAAAAAATATATATATATACATATACATACAAATATATGTAGGAGTGGAAAAACAGGTGAGGCGAAATGAAATAAATTGAAATTGTTGCACAACCGAGTGTGTCCAGTATGGCATATCAAAAAAATATATATTTATGTACATATATATATAAAGCAACCCACTGCCACAACAACAGCAACAACAACTCAAATAAATTAATTAATAAAAAGCCAATTGGCCAGCAGCGAAGCACATTGAAGGCGGCGGGAAGGGGAGAGAGAGAGAGGCAGCACGTTGAGGGATTTCATTGCGGAGCTTGTTTTTTTTTTATTTAATTTTGATTTAAAAATTTATGTAAATATTTAATGCACTTTGGCGGCAGCAGCGAGCAAGCAACAACAACAACAGCAACGAAGTATGCCATAAAAATATTTCACTTTTTCATTAACTAGTGTCATATAAAAAGGCAAGAAAATAATGCGTAGTTAAAAATTGTTTAAGGTTTCTGCTATTGCTGTTGCTGTTGCTATGCTTGTTTTTGCTGAATTTGCATTTTCCTTGAAACACACACACACATTCGTACAACAGTTGTATAAAAGGTTGAATTTATGCTGCCAGCCGACGAAATAAACAACAACGGTTTGCAAGACTACAAGTATATTCATCTACGAGCTAGTAATTTGAATTATTTCATAACTGTTACGACTCGTATTATATATTTTTAGATGAAAGCACAGCTCCTTCTTTCAGCACACTTGCTTAATATATTAATCATTTAATTAGAGATGTGTTATAAACATATATACTGGTACTAAATAGTATGTCACTCATTTGTGTGATTCGAATCGATGTTCTTGCTGTTTGACTTGCTATTATTGTTGCTATTGTTGATGTTGTTGTTGCAGCAATTTACCGAAAAATTAAGTCAACTGTAATTAATACATATTAATGGAAAATTGTGTTAATTAAATGTTACCAAGCTGCACAGGTTGGCTGTGCACTCGCACATAAAGAGACAGAACAAAGCAAGAACTTACACACACAAACGTATATATATATATATATATATATACATATATAAACACTCGCATGTCTGTCGTACTTCCCATATACTATTTGCGTTGTCTGCCGCATGTGGCGTATACGCAATTAGCATTCATAGCATACTTTTTGGGGAGTCGCAAACAATATTTGGTAAATACACAAAATTTCAATGATAAACAGCTGTCTTAAATGGCAATAAAATAACTAGAGTTGTTCAATATATGCAATTCGTATATATAATATATAACACATACTCCTTGTAATGACAAACAATAAACAGGATTATTAGATAGGCTTTAAATGCTTATTCTTCTTTAATTCACTCTCTCTCTCTCTCCTCATTAAGTATTGCACACATTCTATTGTCTATTTTATTCTTAGCTATTGGATGAAAGCTGTTACCTTTTCTACAATTAATCAATAGTGCTAGCATTCTGTTCCTAAGTCGAGATTTTAGTGCTCAAGAGAGTACGTCTCTTGAAACTTCATAAAAATATATAGCATGCCACATCGTTCAATTAAATGACAGTTTATTTAGCCCTTGGAAGAGCCGACATTGATTTAAAAGTTCAAGTCATGTTAAGGCCTGCTTTTGTAGGTCAAATAGTCCCATAAAAACTAGAATGCAAACCTAAACGTCTAGACTTTTTACTGTCGGTTCTAATCGGGACACGATCAGAAGTCTACATCGGAACGAAAAGCTGGATCGTTGGCAATAAGTTATTTAAGATTATTAAGCTCTTGAATTGTGTTCCGAAAAAAAGCAATAGATTTAATAGGCTTGACTTAATCCTTAGCTTTTAACAAGAGATTTCGAGTTTTAATAAAAATCTTGCTGTTAATATTTGATTTGTTGTTTTTCTTTCTTTCTTTTTAAGCATAAAATTGCTTTATAAATTATTAAATTGGTAATCGTTTCATCGAATCTAAAAGAAATTCAAAGTCAAACGACAATAATGATGAGATATGTTGACTACTTTAAAGCAATTCAATCAACATTTAGTTTTGACCGCCACCATCGTCAACGCCGCACTTTTTGCATTTCGATCAATTTTATTAATAATTCAATCAGTCAAAAAATTATTTGAAATGTGCCCCAAAGGAAAACAAAAAAGTTTTGCTCGTTTTGGTCGCGCGGCATTTGCCTTGCGCCCGCCATTGCTTTATTTTTACTTTGATTTCTGCGACGATGCTATGCTGCTGCTGCTGCTCCTGCTCCTGCTGCTGATGATGTTGACGATAATGATGTTCACGAAAGATGATTATGATGAAAGATGAAACGTTGGCGGTCGCAGCAAGCGTCTAGCTATTTGCACAACGCCGGCAACGGCACGGGAACGAACGGCAACCAAAAGCAAATCAAACCAAACCAGCAAACAAAACAAAACGAGAA